GTACCCATTCCCACCTGGGTGAAGTGAGGAAAATTCGTGTAAAGTGCCTTTCCCAAGGACACAACGTCGGGCCCTTGACGGGATTCGAACCCACGACCTTACGGTTGCGAGTCCGAGAGCCTAACCACTAGGCCACCGACGCCAATCAAGGCTACTTGCGAAACGACGCATCTGATCAGTTGAATTAAGTATATTTCAGACCTCCGCCGTTGGTGTCCATAATGGGTTTAACCACAGATAATGTTACTAAACCGCAGACATGCAGCCAGGAGTCTGACACATTTTATAAGAAAATCAAATCTTAAAGATTCTGTTCCATTTTCCTGCAGTCCAGTGAGGCACAAGGAGAACCACCCTCTGTTGGGTCTTTTTGCGTATATCACTATGGGTTCTTCGTAATCTTTTGGCCGAAGGTGCTTATGGTGTATTTGTTAGCGTCTTCATCAAGAAAGCTGCCTAGGGATGGGAGTTAGATTTCCAAACAGGGAAGATATCTTAAGGGGGGGGGGGGGGGGCTACTCCCCCAAAATCCCGATTCGGCTCAAAATTATGGAATTTGAGTTGTAGGCATTTTTGGCTTCCTCAGCATCTCGTACAACTATTTCATTGCATAAGAACCCCCATAACCGTATTTTTTCCCGTACCTGGTATGTTTGTCACAACCATTCCCTCATAAAGTCAATATTTCATCTTTCTTTATTGGCCGTTTTCTCAAAACGCGACTTTTCTCTATACTTTTTTGAATAACTCCACCATTTCTCATCCAATCTTCATGAAATTTTCACAGATTGAAGAAAAGATGTAATACTAAAACTTTCTTTGCTGAATTATTTTTATATAGAATATAATTTTGTTTGTGGTGTCTGCGGAGTGTGGATTTTCATAAATTTTTTGCAAACTTGAATGCTACCTCAGGAAAAAATTCATTAATTTTTTTCTAAATCGTTTAGGAAAAAAAGCAACACTCACCTCTTCAGATCTAATGTTTATTAACACGCATGCAAAAAAAAAAATCAATTTCCATGAGTGATAAGTGCGGTATTCATTACGTAAGACATGTCAACAAAATCCAATATGGTCGCCGTATCCATGGAAACGAAACATTTTTTCTCAAATTTGATTGCGGATTTTAAGACTCATTAGTGTGCTTGTTATATGAGAAACATTTGGTAAATTTGTTCTAGTAATAAGCGAGATAGCCTTCAGGTGTAACCCCCCCCCCCCTTTCCCCCTCTTAAAGACTATCTCCTTCTTTCTTCAAGGATATATATCTTACAGCCCATGTTGGCACCCACATGCAGAATAGCCTGGCTCCAAACATGTATATGAGCAAAAACAACATGATATCAAAAGGAGCAAAACATTACATTTTACTGCTCTACAGAGCGGACCTGCTCCCTGCGGCAGGAGTCGACTCCCGACCGCCCGGCGACACGTTCCAGTTCTACTCGGTCCGAGCCCCGGCAGGATACCCACAGTCTAGCCAGTGTCCCAGCGCCCAGAGCTTCAACACTTACCCCTGTAAATCTATGGGACCTATCTATGAAGGCACAAAGTGCCCATGCTCCAACAGGTAAATCTGAGTTTGAAGTTTCTAGCTCAAGCCCATTTCAGTACGACTTATTTAAGCTGCTCAAGTTAGGAAAAAAACCCTCAAAAAATGGTATTTTATGCAAAACATTCTCATAATGAAATGTTGGGTCAGACAGTAACGTATTTTTGAGGATATATCTATCGATCTCGATGAGTAGTAAGATCAGTTGCAACCAAAGCAATTTTAATGTTTGCACAAGAACAGTACTGAGAAGGGGAGCTAGCTTCTCTGACTCTGACATAATAAGTTTATGTATCGGGGTTTTATTTTGTACATTAAATATGGTTATCAGGTGTATAATAGATTCTAAAAGCCAGAAGAGGGGAGAAGGTGGGAGGGGATTGGGTGACATTTCCTTTGAGGAGTGAGAATTTGAAGCAGTCCAGCACTTTATTCATCTACGAATCAAATCATCGCATTCCTTTGAAATGGGCAATCCACAAGACGGAATAGAATACTCCTCGGGGAAATGAACTTTTTGAAGACTACAGCTAGATCTATATTTTATGTCTTGGAGAAGCCGTAAGTTGAACGAACGTAAACCTCTCCACGACTGGGAGACACGTGAAATTCTCAGTGGAGCGACCCAAATGCAGCAGGAATCGCTGATTCTTCGTCGTGTGTGACATTCAGAAACTGTTGTATTTAGCAAGTCTCCTAGTGCTCAACGTGTCACAGAAGAAAACACCTGTGGAATTCGACAAGTTTGTTTACCGAGAACAGATACTATCGAAATCAGAACTGTATTCAAAGAAACGTCACCCTTATTGCGCATTCGCTTGTTCTGCTGTGGAACCGACAGTTGCAGCTTGTTTAAGGTCATTTGTAAATCCGTGACCTATTCTTCGCACCCAGGGGTAGACCCCTGCTTCAGTATAACCAGGCCACACAGCCGACACTTTTGATCCCATGAACACCTCGTTTCTTATGCCGTGTCGTCCACAGTGTCCTACCTGTTCCGCAGAGAGCAGGATCTGTTGTTCAAGGCACTGGCTTCAGTGGTGCACGTCATGCAATACAGTCTCATGACTTCCAAGAATTACAAGCCGGGAGCCCAGGCAACTACCCCGCCCCTCCCGCTGGCTGTGGAGTTTCTGAAAACAACGTGGCCTCTCTCTACGCCCCTGACCCCCTGTGCGCATGCCCATATTTCCCCGCACCGTATGTTTGCAGGCCGGTGTACAGTCGAAAATATTTGGAAGATTGTCCTGAACAAGATGGACCTCCAGCTGATAGTTACACCTTCCTCTGACAGAAATAAGACATTTTTTTAACAGAACGATGCATACGGGTAAGGTGTAACGTGCGCTTGTGCTACAATCAGACATCTTTGACGTAATATGCACGATGTTTGCTAGGAGTTATTTATTTTAGAGTGGAAAACTTCCTAGGAGCAAATTGACAATGAGATGCAGTTATTCCGCTTGACCTTTCTTTGAACTCAGGTCTACTGCGAGGAATTCATGTTTATTCAAACGCGAAGGCCTTAGTGTCTCTCAATAATGTCATGAATAAGTTTGCGTCATTCGCATTTTCATCACAGCATTTCTCTTAGGTGTGCACATGTTTTTATGTCCAAAGACAAGAATGTTTTTCCAGTTATCTAACATCTGTGTTTGTTGCCATTTTTTTGTCCAAAAGTTGCCACAAAAATGGCAAAAGTTGCCGAAAAAGCCGCCATTAATTGTCAAGCTTTCAACTACCTGTGACGACGTAATATATTCATATATAAATCTAGTATAGAAGAGGTAACTTATTCTAAAGCACCAGAATGTCTTGTAACATGTTTTAAGCATCCAGAATATTATTTGTAGACACATAGAGTGTAAAAAATGAAAAATGAAGTTTTCACAACAGAATGAAACCAAAATTAGAACAGCACACCAACAACCACAAAAAGTAACAAATAAGGGCGTGTGTCCACCTATCCGAAGATAGGCCGTTTTAACCCGAAACGTGTTTAATTTTAGAAAAGTACAGGATGCTGCATGTAAATTATGGAATCACACACAAGGGGCCTGTCAGTGTCAGTATTCGGTTTTGGTGGAGACACGCTCTAACATAATAACACATTTATATATTTTTTTAAAACGTAGGAACATCAAATTAAATGACATTACCCTATATAAACACACACACACAAATAGAAGAAAAATTAACACACACACAAAGAGGGGAATATAAAAGACAAACAGCAATATGATAAATAGTATGTAATGTACTTATTATTATTCTTCGCATGAAAATAACTATACATGGACACCTTAAAATTATCAAAATATACGTCTATGTAATGAAGTAGCCTTTTCTTTTTGAAAAATGCAAAAAATCGCTGCCGCAATTCGCGGACAAAAAAATGCCGAAAATCACGGCCGAAACGCAGATGTTAGAGTTATACATAATGGTTGTATTAAAAGTTTTGTGTTATACCCTAAGTTACAAATGATAAAGCCTATTGCATTTTATTTTAGAAATATTTCATCTTTAAAAGCTTGTTCCCATAAAATTAGGATGAGAGGGAAATCGAAACATTAGCATCCCTTCCAAAAAGTGTTATATTCTCACATCGTTGTTGTTCAAATGGATACGACTAGGTTCTTTATTCCTGTGACCTTGATGAGAAAAGGCACTTGACACACGTCTATGAATCTTCTGTTTATCTTTTATCGTTAAAATTGAATGCCCCACTAAGCAGAATACAGAAAGTGTGGAAGGTGCAGCACTTGGTCAGCCATTTGGATTTTGTTAGACCGAATGATTCAGGAGAGGCGAAGCAAAAAAATGTAACACACTCGAGTTCAAATTTCGTATTTCCCTATGGCAAACACGGTTGGAAGCTATTACTTCAAGGCAAACAAACATCAAAGCTTGCTCGGAAGTGCACTTCGCTGACTTTTTTTTCATGGAGGATGTGGAAATTTAATTACAAGGAAGCAGGGGCGAAGGCTGACTTGTTTGACAGGGTAATCAAAGTGAGATGAGACCAGATAGGGCCTGGAGATATCACACTCACACAAGTCACAGGAATCTTACTGGCACTGGAGGCGGCAACTCTGAGTTGTGAATGAAAACAAATCCTGAGTTCATGTTGTATGCATATTCAGCCGCTAAAATAATCGTGAAAGTATTTCATTAAAAATGTATTCTAACTAACCTTAAATTTAACTTTAGATTTGAACACACGAACACCAAGGAAAGAAGCAGAGATGTCAGTACTACAATGACATGTTATACCAGACAGCCGAAACACTTTGGTAGAGCATGCCAACTATAAAATTTTTATTTCACATTTGGCTGTTTTTGTCTAGCTTTTCGCGGCCAGGAGCCGGTGTCATAATCGAGGTCACGATCTCATTATAGGACGTTAAAAAGTCGAGGGAAAAAACAAGCACTCGCAGCAGTCAAGATATTATTAGGAGTTAGTTCCCCTCACATCTGTGAAGTAGACTCGACCAGTGTAGTAGTTAGCATAAATAATCAGTGCATGTAGCTGCTTATAACTGTGGCTCGAAAAGGGGAACAGGGTATATGCGGTAATGAAACAGTTTTGACTGCTATGCACATGTTCCCTTCAACTCTATTGGTAGACTCTTCTAGCGTCACTTTAAGCTTACTTAATCAAAGCTTGTGACTGCTTATGGAGTGGCCCGATAGGGGAGAACAGGCTATTTCTGTGGCAATGAAACGGTTTTGAAGGTTAGGCATAGTCTATAGTTCATTGGTGATTATGAACATCTTTTTACATTTAATTTATGAGGTTTACGTCTATGGGTGAATTTGACTGCGACAATGTTTCAAAATTTGGAAGGGAAGCAGTGATTATTTGATTATATAGACGCTTCGCCTCTGCAAGGAAGACAATTCACACAGCTAGCAATACAAAATACCCCATATGGTCACCCAGCCAGGAGAGTGAATGCAACGAACTTCTCAGGCCTAGTGCAGTTGTGCCAGGTGACCGGAACGGATAATTTGCACTGGCGCATTATTGCGCCAAATGACTGCTTAAGGCACGTTTCAGACATAATATGTCTCATGACAGATCGAAAGTTTTCATCATGTCTTTCTAAACAAACGTGACCATATGTCCACAGACCGTCAGCGAACGCTACATTCCCTTTTAGTGATGTCATGAGTTCTGTTGATGTCTTGGGCAATTTATAATGTCACTTAATCAGAATTGTGAAGGCCAGCATGAAATTGCAGAAGTAATTCGCAGGAAAAATACATGGTCCCATGGAGCCTCCCGGGTACGTTATGGGTGGTTGGTGAGTGCCCTGGTGTGGTTTGCTCCTTTCTTATAAACCATCTGTCGTTGTTATCTCTCCTACGTTTTTATTTGTTACTTTCTTGTAACAACCCTTATCTTGTGAATTTACGCGACCTAACTGTGATGCTAGTAGTGCTATAAAACTCTTAATAAAACTGACTATACTTTGGGGTGTCTTATTTTCTTTTGCACCAGCATATGACTTAATTGTAATTTTTAGTTCCTTGTTAAGATAATGCCATCAGAGTTTAGGTATCTCACATATAAAAATCATCAGCACCCACATTTTCAGCCATTATTACGACCTGTTTTACTTTTCGTTCATGAATAACTTGGACCACCAGCTGACAGTACCGCCTTCTCCTGACAGAAATCAGACATCTCTTTACTTGCTTTACTTTTATTCCAGGTGTCCAACAAGAATATATAAGAAACCCTACGATCTTTCTCAGATGTATCCCAAGTGTGTAGACCGCTCTCCTACCCCTCACTTTGTGACCCCGCTGTACTACGAAAACTCGCCATACGTGCAACAGTGTACCACCAGCCCACTACAACTTTTCACAAAGACCAATGGAGCTTGTCGTCAGCCGTGGTCCAAACACCTTAAGCCAGAGTGCCCTGGCAACCAGCCGTCCATCGATCCTAATCTCAATATGTTTCTGCATTGCCACAAAGGCGTCGGAAATCAGAAGTGAACTTGGCATATGCTCTCCGATTAACATGAACTACGTTTGCAAGCAGTTTCCCGCCGTTGGGGCTCCTAAAGACTGTCCTTACTGGTTGCTGCTTCAGTTTGTCACACTGCATGCACGTTGAGGTGTCAGCTTGTACAGAAAACGATCTCTGCAGGACTGTGAAAATACAACAGAGGCTCCGCATAAATAATATGAGTTTGTTAGTTTGTTCTCTACCTCCATGTATTCCTTGTCGTAGTCCGAGAAACAGACAGCAGAATCACTCGCAAAATCCATCACAATAATGCAATTCCAACAGCTCTCACCTCTTTGGTCGACTTGTTAGACAATTAAACTACCGGTATTTAGAGATTTAGGCAATGTTAAAAGAGGAATGGTCTAGAGATGTGGGACAATTTTATTGTGGCGTTCCCCATCTTTGAATCTTCGAAAAAGAACTTTTCTTTTCTTTTCTTTTTTTTTTTTTGTTGAACTCACACCCTCTTGAATTTACTTTGTAAGTACGGTGTGTGGCCTTTGTCATCTTTTTTTCTTTCGTTTTTCTGTAAACTGATGACGGCAGAAATGCTGTTGACTTTTTAGTTTTCAACTCCATCTTTAACATTTAGGAGGAAGAGATCACTTTATATACCTTTCTTTTCTTTATCTCTACTCCGTTTTTTGTAGGGTCGTTTTTTTAAAATCTGATTCTTCAGTGAAAGTCTTGTCTCCATGCGTGTGGATAGTGCTTTTGTCGAACCAGGTGCTTTTATTTCTTTTCAATTTCTTCACTGTCCTTATGTGTTTCTGGGTGTAATGGTTGTTGATTGCAGTCAGTTCCGCTGGCTAGCGATGTTTACCTATCCCAAAGCTATCCATTGGTTATCTGTTTAAACGGAGCTTCTCAACAGCGGCGGCAGCACCACGTCGAAAAGTGATAAAATCAATAACACAGCAGCAGCCCCGCCACCACGACTAATAACAGCAACTAATGCAACAAACTCAATTCTCCAATTGCAGTTGAGGTAACAATTAGAGCAGTAGCTAAAGCGGATGCGCCACTCATAACAAGAAAAACAACACTAGAACCTCTTGCTGTCTCCAAATATTTATTTTTGTTCAAGATAAGGTACACCCAGAAGAGAAATAGTGACCAAAAGAAACAGCATAAACGAATTTATTGCGTGAGTTATGCTGGGAGACTACAACTATAATTTATCGTACAAGTGAATGTATAGCATACAGATATGAGCTGACGAAATTCGTCTGGACAAACAGAGATCAAATGACAGATCAAGTGGTCAAGGGTCCTCACTCAAAAATCTCACATGAAAGCGAAATTTCAACTCCCTTTGAAATCCGAGTGAGGAGTGAAAGAAAATGGAGTTCTTTGCTTTTCTAAGCACATTATTACAGCAGATGCCATTTCGTGTGATGTCTACCTCCGAGAAATAAAAACAAACAAACAGTACAATAAAAATGCACAGGCAAAGAAAGTAGGAAATGATCGATTCAGCAAATCAAAGATAGAGAAACTGCATTTTCAAGGGGGGGGGGGGGGGGGGGGGAGGGGGGTTGGTTTCTTTTTTTATTTCGTTGGTTTTGTATTTGGTTGGGTTGGGGGTTTTTTTGTTTTGTGTGTGTCTATTTTGGGGTATTTTGTTACGGGTTTTTTTTCTGGAAAGGGGGGGGGGTGTTTTGGGGTTTATTTTGGAGTTGTTGTTTAGTTCTTTAACTTTTGTAATCCCAATCATGGAAAGAGTGCTAGCATCCAAATTAGCTGATATTTCACGAGTAGAGTATAAGTAGGCACTTCAGTGAAATTTTTAAACGTCTCCGAGGGCACTAAAATTTGGATTAATGAAAAGAGCTTGGCTTTCTGTTTTCAGAGCTTTTTAAATTGTTGTGCTATCTTTGTTAGTTTAGAAGCAGCGACCGTTTTTGTGAATCAATTTTCGCCCTGATTTGGCCAAATTTTTGCACTGCATTTTGTGCCACCAAAACTCGAAATTTTACTTCACAACGTCATAAAATCCTTAATAATATTTGTATCGTGACCATTGAGGTATCATTTTGTTTGCTGTTTTATGTAGAATCAATATATAAAAATAAAAATCAAGTAAATTAAGAGTAAAATTCTATTTACCGTTTAATTACGTCATAATCGTGACGTCGGGACTCCAATGCCTATTATCCCAAAAAAGAAACGGGCACACTTTCCATAATAATGGTCCGATTTTCAAAAGAAAAACATCACTCATTTTGTTTTAAAGAGTTCTGTAACTTGCTATTGGGGAAAAATGATTAAAATTGAAAGCAGTTTCAATCTTACACGCATAACTCAAGCAGGAATTTGGCGGGTGCTCTGGAATGTGGTTTGTTCCTTTTTTCCCTATTAACAATCAACGGTCCTTATCTCTCCTCGTTCTTTTCTGTGTATGTTACTCTCTTGTAACACCTCTAATCTTCGGGGCTTACATGACCTATTTGTGTTGCAAGTGCCGTTAAACCCAAGCATAACACAGACTTGAAGAATATGAAAAAAATTCAACGAGTATGGTATAAAGCGGGATTATATATATATACCATGCAATGACTCATATCCCGAAGAACAGCGACACCAGTTCTATGATCAACTGAGTGACCTTTTAAACACCGTGGATGACAAAGACAATGTGACAATGATGGAGGACTTTAACGGCAGAGTGGAAACAAAAAAGACGACGTGGGAGAGATACATGCAGCCACACAGTGACAGGGAAACAGATCAAAACAGCAATGGAGAAATGCTATTACAGTTGTGTGCAGAACATGAGCTCGTCATATCAAATACCTTCTTCCAACACAAAAGGAGTCAAGTTAAAACTTGGTACAAATGTAATGATCTAAAGATAACATCACAAATTGATTTTATCCTAGCCAAAAGATCGAAACTGATGTTTTTGTTTGTTTTAGTAGAAGTTTTACGGCGCTGGCAACTGCATAAGGTCGTATGAGCGCCACTCGAAACTGAGAAAAATCAGACACTCAAGAGTGATTCCCATCTACATCACAGACACTGACCACAGACCAGTCATCATGACTATTGACACACCAAACAGGAAAAGGCCAGAAGCAAAGAAACGATGAGAAGGCGTAAATTTCAGAAATATAAATGACAATAACAAGGATAAGATACATGAACGTTTGAAAAATGTATTTCACAAATTTCCCCCAAAATTGATAGACATGGAAGAGGAATGGAGCCACTTCAAAGCATGTGTGTACAGAGCATTAAAAGAAGAGTTCGGCACCAGGAAAACAAGAGCGCAGAATGACCAAGTGAAGGAAGCCGTCCAACTGAAGAAAAGGGCATTCAAAAAGTGGTAGAAATCAAAGACGGAGGAAGATTACATCCTATACAGAAAGGACCGCCGCAATACATCAAGGGTAGTAAAAGAAGCTAAGAACAGATCCTGGTCAGTACATGGAGAACAGCTGGTAACAGAATGTAAAGAAAACCATTGAGAGTTTTACTAGAGAGTTAAAAAAGCATGAGGAGGCGGGAAGAACCATTCAACCAAATTGAAATAGTCAATGATGAGCACGGAAAACCCTATTTTCAGAAAGCCAAAGATTAAGGAAAGATAGAAAGGCTATTTCCAGGAGCTGCTGAATCCTACAGCAGAAACAAGAGCAAACAGCTTCTCACCGAAAGAAACCACTCCAGAACCATCACTACTGCTGAGTGAAATCCAACCTGTTATAAAGAATAGCCCCATAAACAAAGCGATAGGCGTTGAAAACATCACAGCAAAAGAGATCAAACTATACGGCCATATCGGAGAACTCTGGCTATGGAGGATATTTAACCTGGCCTGGGCGACAAAAACAACACAAAAAAGGAATATCCTTTCTCAGCCGTGTGGATATAACGTTTGCTAAGATACTGGAAATGAGGATGAGACCAATTGTAGAGACTCAACTCAGTAAACCCCAGTTTGGCTTCAGAAAAGGCAAGGGCTGTACTGACGGTTTTTTGCATTCGGACAGTTGTGTGAGACTGCCATTGGACATGACAAGACCTCAATATCGTCTTGTGGACCACGGAAAGGCGTTCGACAGGGTAAATAGATGTCAACTTTGGGAAGTCTTAGAGGTTTTAGTAGAGGTTTTACGGCACCCGCAACTGCATAAGGTCACATGAGCGCCAAGGGGTGGATGTCAATAGAGAAGTCCTTACAGAGAATCAAACTTACTCTGCTCACCTTTCTAGCTTCTACAAAACAAAGTCTGCTTAGACTATCAAGGCACCCCGGAAACAGCGGGTCACAAGAGTGTGACAAACATACAAAAGAAGTAGAGGAAAATGACGATAGTAAGGATTAGGAAAGAAAAAGGCGCAGTTCCCTGTTATAGTTCAGGCATAGCTATGAGCATGCCATTGTTCGATCAGCCCATTTACAATTCTACTGTGCATTAGAACGTCCCCTGTTTTGGAATGGCATAAAGACACTTCAGTCAGTGGCATCGCCCCCGAGGGGAGGGGGTAGTCTTAGAGTAATATGGTGTTAAAGGACAATTGCTCAAGAACATCATGGCACTTTATAAAAACAGCCTGAATGCCGAAAGGTCAACAGAAGGACTATCGGACTGTTTCCCCATCACGTCTGGGGTGAGACAAGGGTGTGTTCTCTCTCCGCGTCTATTCATCACTTACATGGATAAGATCACGAAAGCAGCAAATGACAACATCAATTAACTGAGCGAGCTTGTATCTGCTGATGACCAGAGTACATTAAATACAGATGAAGAGGAATCACAAAAAAACACACCACAAAATTAATTAATGAGGAATATAAACACCTATACATAAAAATCTTTATTTCAAAAACAGAAGTTTTGAAGGCAAGAAAAAAACCAGGGAAACTCAACATCTTTATTGACGGAACACAACTCCAACAAGTACGGAATTTAAATATTTGGGAAGCATCTTCTCACTAGTTGGGCGTAAGGACAAAGAAAAAGAACCATGAAGGCAAATGTAGTGACCTACCAGCTAGCATCCCTTCTCAGTCACAAGAACATCCCAACTGAAGTGACATCCCCAGCTCATCAATAGAATCTTCATACCAACATTAACATACCAGTGCCAAACATGGTCTCTAAACAAGGCATGAGAAAGGAAAATCAATGCACGCAAAATCACTGGTTTCTGCAAAACCACCAACGCCACCAGAGGAGACCGCATAAGGAACGAGACCATACGTCTACCAGTAGTAAATTTATTAGAGCGTCAAAGAGTCAAATGTTTCGGACATCTAACCAGAATGCCCCAGAAACAACTAGCGGCTAGAGCTTACCACACCCGCGAATCCGGCTTTAAATCAAGAGGAAGACCAAGAAAAACCTGACTGGATGGGGTTAAAAAGGCCCTGGAACAATATAACTAATTAGCATATCACAGACGCCGAAACCTGCACCTCCCCTCGACATCCTAAGGATACCAGAAGAAGGAAAATGTAAAATAAAGTAAGAACTGAGGAGCAAAAGTGCTCACTTTGTTGCAACTGGCATCTTTCTTCAGGGTTGTTTCATCAGTGGAAAAGAGTAATAGGCTTACACAGCTAATACCGTGAGTCGTGGAAGGATGGCGGCGGTGGCGATTATAAGACAAATAAGACAAGAAGGATATATAATAAAGAAAATGTATGAAGTTGAAGAGCAGGTAAAGTGGGATGGAAAAGAAAAAGAGAGGTATGAAAATAAGAGGGGAGTGGGAACACACGAAACCACACACACACACACACACACACACACACACACACACACACACACACACACACACACACACACACACACACACACGTACACACACACCCAGAGAGAGAGAGAGACAGAGAGAGAGAGAGAGAGAGAGAGAGAGAGAGAGAGAGAGGGGGGGGGGGCATGCAGTGGATCCCACAATCCAGTACATAGCATTTTTCGTTCTTGTTCATACGACAGAAAAGAAAGAAAATCTGGATCGGTACTAACAATAGACCTAAGAAACTTTATCAAGCAAATAATTGCATCAGATACTTTAATAGGAGTCCCAATTTAATTTTTTACTGTGTTAACAAACACGAGTCCGGACTCTTCAAACTAGATCTAGGTCCTAGACCTACGCAATGAAAGGCTTTGGGCAGGGGAAAAAGGAGGGAGGGGGGAGCTCAGTGAACAGGAAATACTTGGGTCTAAAAAGTCTCGTTTTCTTTATACTATCGAATGAACTAAGGCCAAATGTGAGATCAGTGATTATAAAACATTACCAAAATTGATTAACTTTTTGAACTAAAGTTTAAAAATCTCTTGGTGATGTATTTCCCTGTCTCGTACATTTCAAACAATGAAGAGAGGGAGCCAAAAGCTCAAGGCGAAAATGCGTGACGTCACGACTCTGCGCGATGTCACGGTGGAAGGGTTCAGCTAGGTTTTCGCGGATTTGGTTGATAAAAGGGTAAGACTACACTAGCCAAGGTAAGACTTCTACGATAACCATTTAAACGTTTTCTGGAAGCACAAAGAATGCTTTACCAACAAGGGTAGTTTGAAAAAAATATGACGAGAAAATTTATCAAAAATCAATGGTTAAAAATTGTCTATTTTTCAACTTGAAATATTTCGAGACTCATTAGTCGAACATCGACCTGGAAAGAAGCGTTTTGAAGGCCATCCACAGGTCTTTAAAGACATGTATCGGATTTGAATATTGGTCCCCTAAATTAAACAAAATATAGGCAGTTTGAACCCACTGTCGCGATGAGACGTCATGTCCGGAAACAAAACCCTATGGGACTTTCCGAAGCCAAATGACGCTATAGTGAGGGCGTTCACTGAAGTGCCTAGTATAAGGATTCATTTAACTTCAAGTATTATATAAATGAGAGGATATCGCATGAATCGTTGCAAATAATTTTAAAAAGTCTCTCTCTCTCTCTCTCTCTCTCTCTCTCTTTTTTTTTTTCTCTCTCCCACTCTCTGTGTGATATGTATAAAATATATAAAAACATGATGACAATCATCAAGTGTCAGATCTGAAACAGACATCGGTGATCATGGATCCATATTCATTTCTCCCTTCGAAAGCTGTCACCCATCTGTTTTGGTTCTTTGCATAAGTTTCTCTGCCCCTGCCTGGTTTGACATATATTTTGTCGTTGACAGCAAGATATTCAAAGCCGTCATGGTGAGTCAAGTGGTTTAGATACTGCATTTGTGGCTTCCTTGTTGTTAATGAGCAGCCCCGTGGATCTCTGTCAATACTTCTTTGTTTGGTTTCTTTTCTGTCTAAGAAATTCTCATAAAATCTCCTTAGAAGTCACGTTTCTATTGTTTCTATTTTGTTTGCACTGTCTTGGTAACAGTCCATCGTATCATATATACACATAATATTATTACCTGTGCAATATAGCATGAATGATCATATTTTGTTATTTTGTTTTTGTAAAGTGCAACTGCATAAGTCATATGAGCGCGGGGGACACACCTAATATTTTCAGTTGGTAGGAAATTTTGAATTTTGCCCGGGTGGCGGCCGAAGCCTACTCTTATCGATTTTATACCACCAAGGGATCTTTAACGTGCGCAACTTGCACACGGGCCCTCCGAGATTTTTCGCCCTTGTCCGAGAAGGCTAGGTGTAGATCTTTCCTACCAGAAGATCAGGGGTGTGGCTGAAAGACAGCAGTACGAAGAAGCGAAGGAGTAGCAGTAGAAAGGCCGTAGAAAGAATCAGGAGCCCAGAGGAGGGGGCAAAGGAGGTGAGGGGTGGGGTCAGAAAGTGGAATTGAAAGCGGACAACAGAACATTGCTAGAGACCAGGAAAGGAGGTGAAAGAAGACAATTTTAGAGAAGAAAATTTTTCGGTCGCTACCCGGATTCGAACCCGGGACCTTTGAATGAGAGGCCAACACCTTAACCTCTAGGCCACGAGAGCACCCTATATTTTGTTATTTGTATGTTATTCGTTCAACTTAAGTTTGCTCTTTACAATACAAACGCTCAGCACATGTCTTAAGGAAAACACAATCTCTAAAATATATTTATATATGACAGAAGGTGCATCAAACGCCCAAATGAAGTCCAAGTGCTCATAACGTTTGACGTAGACATCTTTGGAGACGTTCAACTGTGGCAAGAGCCAATTGACGTCCATCTTGTTCGCCAGCAAGTCATGACCCCCTCTGAACACAGCCACCGGGACTTTCATATTACTCGGGTAGTACAAGGGTGGTGTTGGCTGAAATAGAAATATTGAGCTAATAGTAGCTTTGTTATTGTTGTTAGGTTTTTTCGCAGTCTACCTTAAATCGGATTAGCGTACTACTACTACTACTACGCTTCTACCCACCTCCCTCCTTCTCGCTCTCACCCCCTCCCTCTCTCTCCCCCCCCCCTCTCTCTCTCTCTCCCTGTCTCTCTCTCTGTCTGTTTGTCTGTCTGTCTATCTATCTATCTCTCTCTCCCTCCCTCTCTCTCTCACTCTCTCTGTCTGTCTGTCTGTCTGTCTGTCTGTCTGTCTGTCTCTCTCTCTCTCTCTCTCTCTCTCTCTCTCTCTCTCTCTCTCTCTCTCTCTCTCTCTCTCTGACCCTTTTTGTAGGTTTTTTCGACCCACCCCCCACCCCCCGTTTATAACATTCGACCGTTAATAATAGTGGTAAACCTATGATAATCCCTGAAATTTTCTTCCAAAATATAATAAAGTTTATACATGTACTATTACCTGATTATAACGCCGCATGTTAGCTTCAGGAGACCCGTAGTCAAATTTCTGGAATTCTTTTGAGTTAACCATCTGAAAGTAGTGAAAGAGAAGCACACTTAAAACATTCAGTTGAGTCATTTACAAACGAAAGCGCAAAGCACCTAGATGAAATAATAGGCGTTTATTAGATATCGAGACTAGGGCATCATACAATTTACAAAAGATCGATTTTCATCGAAGACAGCGGTGCTTGCCACAATAGAAGAATGGGTGCTTCATTTTCTCATCAAAGAATACCGCAATTTGCAAGTTAATCCCACATGTGTGTGTGTGTGTGTGTGTGTGTGTGTGTGTGTGTGTATTTGCGTGTGTGTGTGTGTGCGTGTGTGTGTGAGTGTCTGTGTGTGTGTGAGTGTGTGTGTGTGTGTGTGTGTGTTTAACGTAGGTATTTTCACCCCCATCGACATAATTTATTTCATTAAGGAGGCAGATTTCGCCTGTCTGGGCTTACCCGGGTTGAGGTGGATACACCATCCCAGTAGAAAGTTCGAGATTTTCTATAAAAAATCTCTCCACATTGGAATCGAATTGATGTCTTCTGCTGGCTATAGTGAAGCTCTTAATTTCTACATAAACGACTTGGGTCCTTTTAGGTGTAGTTAATTAAGAATTATTATAACATATCATATATCTATACATATTTTCCCAGGCTTAAATCAGTCCCATTAAAAAGCTAACCGAGTCTTTTCTCGAGAAAAGAAATTAGATGCGGCCATAGATGTTAGGTGAAATTTCAAAAAAATTCTGGAAATTTCTACTCACCTGAGCCCAGTGCAAAATGTTCGTGGTTGAGGTTCCAGCAGGATTGTGTGCCATATACACCGGTATTCTAGTCTGAGAGATGAAAAAACTTTTGTTTTTTTTACTCATGATGATGATGATGATGATAATGATGATGATGATGATGATGATGATGATGATGATGATGATGATGATTGTGGTGGTGGTGGTCGGGGTGGAGGTGACGGTAGTGGTCGTGGCAGTGACGATGATCCTTCTGTTATTATATTCCTTACTTCCACGCACCTGCCCCCCCCCCTCTCTCTCTACCACTTCTGGCTTTAGTGTTCCCTTCTCTCTGGCCTTTGAGATTTGTTCTCACCGCTCCTTTAAATGTTGAGACATGTATGTACGCACTTTAGTTTTTATAGCCTGTGTATATCTAGATTCTTGCCCTTTATTTTTGTGAATGTTCCTGAGGAAGCCCGTTGAGGGCGAAACGTTGAACTGTGGATAATATATTTTTTGGAAACACAACAAGGTCTTAACTGTTTTAATATCTTCTTCATACAATGATGATGATGATGATAATGATGATGATGGTGGTCGGGATGGAGGTGGCGGTAGTGGTCGTGGCAGTGATGGTGATGATGATGGTGATGGTGTTGGTGGAGCTGTTACTTTTTTGCTGTTGGTGCTATTTTAATATTAATATCGTCGCAAGAACGCAAAGGTCCAGATTGTTATCCCAAGGGGTTAGGAGTTTCCCATGTTCTTTCTATGATATGTCCATCAAGCCAAACGTGTTTCTGTTTGAATGCTTATAGTATCATAGACAACAATGCATCCAAAGAAGGTATATGATTATATGATAGACAAAAAGTAGGAAAAAAACATCTTGACAAACTCACTTGATTTAGAGATGCAGGGTCAAAGCCACCTGCAAGAAACAACAAGTTTTCACAAATCTCAGTCCCCCACTTCAGACAGAGCTCCCCTTGCAGATATCGCAGAAATCGTGGTGGGCACAGGAACTCTCCGGGTCCTAACATGTCGAAGAAAGCCTATTCAATATGAAAAAACCCCCATTATTTATACGCCTGTTAGTTATTGTAAAGAAATATGAATGCGCAAGCCTGAAATAAAACTTATTCGAACAACCTCTGTCATAGTAAAAGACTTATCTTCAGTCAAACATGGCAGTATTCCAATGAGTCACTTGTTCATAGAATAGTTCCAGCCCTGCTCAACATAGCTTTTTCATGTATTTTCACCCTCACCATCATTGACTTAGTATTATAATAACTTTACTACCGCTTCCTAATAGTTCTATCTTATATTTTATGAATATGAGTGGCCCCGTTGGCCTCCTCAGTACTTCCTCGTTTGATTTCTCTTCTTTTCATGAAATTCTCAGAAGTCCCCTTAGAAACAATATTTCTGTTGCTTTTATTTTGTTTTCCTTATCTTTGATAAATATCGGTAATAAAACGTATTTTGTGTGTAATAGTAATATAATATGAATGAATATTTAACTTTTATTTACCTTTACTTAATGCATGTAGATCTATTATCACACCCACATCTAATGAAACCTCATAACAACATTTCGTGAGAAAAAATAATATCGTACCTCTTTGGTGAACCGTCTACGAGTATGAGTTAACATCCACAGCACCATAACCAAATACTATTGCTGTTCTTAGTGGTTATATTTTGAGTGCCACGATGTATCGGAACGTAAATGAGAGCATTGACAAAGCGTGTTTTATCAGCAACTTTGTTAATAATGTTAATACCAAAAAATCATACTTTCTCAACACTTCTTGTATTGTATAAAGGGAATTAAGAACTTTAAAAACTTGCTGCTTTTCTTTCCGTGATACAATTTCCCCAATATAATATAAAGTCGAGTGCCGATTTCCATGACTCAACCGTCAACGCCAGGGACAATAATGACATGCAAGTCTTTGTCAGCTTCCCACCTGGCACTGTTGACACAGTATACAAATAAGGCAAAACTGAAAGTGAAAGTCAGGAAAAGGACTGGGAAACTCGAAAGCAAATTGTTAGCTTGTTCACTTTCGTCTGTCGGCGTAAAAAAAATTCTACCTCATTTATTAATTTATCTAGATCTATGCCCACAAAACTGTGCATGGCACTTCTGCAGGTCAGTGACCAAACTTTTTTTTTCCAAAAGGTCTTGATCCAGTACTAAAAAGTTTTTCTCTTTGGCCCAATTAAAAACCGCTCTTGTACAGGATCACTAAAATAAATGACTTACAGGAACCTTGCCTAAAATGGCTCAGTTTGAAACAGCAATACCACCTCTCATTTCAGTGAAAGCTTATCGATTTCACGCCCCCCCCCCCCTTTCCGTCTCCATGTGCTGCACGTGCTCCACGTGAGTCTCGAAAGTGATCACCTCGTCTCTTGAATCGCGTTCGTACGTTAGGCCTAGAATGTGGTGTTTAGCAAAAACTTTTTATGTTTGAGGTGCACTCGGTGAATCACTTACTAGATTCTAGATCTAGGCCTATTTGTTTGACGCGCTTTAGGCTTACATCAAAGAAAAACCTTACTTTTCATTGACGTTTATGAGTGGGCTTCTAGATTCTGTTGGTCATCCAACTTTTAGACCCGTATGCAGAGATCTGAGAGCGATTTCATTTAGCCTTGTTTTAACCGCTGTCAGACGAAAGTGAGCAAGCTATAGATCTAGAGAAACTGCTGCTGTGTGGAAAGATAGATGGAAAGAAGATCAGGGGAAGACAAAAAACAACATACACAGACGGCCTGAACAACTATGAAACGAATAACGCAAAGAGAAAAACGGAGCTGACCAAGAAGACAGAGAACAGGAAGGAATGATTGGGCACCATGATCGTCATTGTTTGCTCCAGACTAGACACCCGAAGGAGAAGAAGAAATTTAATATTATGGCCGCTCCAAAGTTCATGAAAACTTACTTTGATTTCATTTGCAAATGGTGCAAGTTTTGCGATCGCTACAGATGTGTGGCCAACACGAGCTGCGGGAGCTAAGGCGAAAAAGTGCTTGATGTGTGAGGCCAGCTCCTGGTCTTCAGAAAACTGTGCGAATGCCATCGTTGTGCCCTGAGAGTGACCGACATAATACACCTGGTCAGCTCCAGTTTTGTCGCGGATGAAGTTGATCATGGCTGGAAGGTCGAATCTGGCCATTTCGCCCCAGCTGTAGACAGGATTAAAATATATAAACCTGTTTAACAATATTCTGAATGACCGTTTTGACGACAGCTAGCACCTTCCT